ACACCACACGCAAACATTTAGTCTTAGGCTGGTGTCAGAGTCCGCGATCCGTCGCAGGTTTCGCTGATTTTCGCGATTTGCGCGATTCACGCGACGGATCGCAAAAATTGCAAGTGTGTGAACATTTGAAACACTGAATATGAAACAAGTGGAATCATGAGCAGTCGTCATTCAGCCATCACTATCAAGCAGAAGTGGCGGCAGGATTGGAGAACACCTTGCAGTATTGATCGGGCACTTGTGATTTCCGTGACCCGTCGCGTGAATCGCGCAAATCGCGAAAATCAGCGAAACCTGCGACGGATCGCGGACTCTGACATCAGCCTTAGCGTTTTATATACAGTAGGGGTAATATATTCATAGCTTGCTGGATTCGAAAAGCATAAAGACAAGTTTTAAATACAAACGTGTGCTAATTGTAATGAATCGAATAAAGGAATCTCTTCCGTATGGAAGCCTGGTGCATATGATCCAGTGCGCGGCTTGCAATGCGTAAATGTCTGGTCTTGCTGCACTCTTTACTTGTTACGAATAAATAGAAACATTTGACTTGTTTGTAAGGATGCAGGAGGTCACTGAATGTGGGTCGCTAGAACAGAAAGCGGCTTTTTTGCTTTTCGCAGCGCGCACCTTGTTGCGGCACTACAGTCTACCTCTAATCGTGAGTGGACCTGGGATTCCCGCATCGAAAAAGTTTCGCGCTGCAAAAAGCGAAAACACCACCTTTCTGTCCTAGCAACCCACACTCGAGGTGATTGCGCTGCAAGTGGGCGCGACCTGCTGTACACTTTGTTGGAAGATAATTTTCGTGTATTTGTTGCCTTTCAGAGCTCTATGGAGCCTTCAACTTCACGTGAGGATGGTTTTCTCGGAACACCTGTCTTGTTTCACCCATTCCATGGTGAAAACATCGAGCTCTTGGAACATAGAAGGCGAGCACTTCGACGCGTCAGTTTTGAAAAGGTTCGTACTGATATCCGAATTCCACTCTTCACATTATTCACTTTTTTTTTTTTTTCGACGAATTTATGAAGCCGTTAGGCTGGTGTCAGAGTCCGCGATCCGTCGCAGGTTTCGCTGATTTTCGCGATTTGCGCGAAACCTGCGACGGATCGCAAAAATTGCAAGTGCCCCATTTGAACATTTGAAACACTGAATATGAAACAAGTGGAATCATGAGCAGTCGTCATTCAGCCATCACTATCAAGCAGAAGTGGCGGCAGGATTGGAGAACACCTTGCAGTATTGATCGGGCACTTGTGATTTCCGTGACCCGTCGCGTGAATCGCGCAAATCGCGAAAATCGCGAAATCGCGAAAGCGAAACCTGCGACGGATCGCGGACTCTGACACCAATCTTGGGCAGGTTTCAGACTGCGCGTTTTTGCGATTCGCTGAAACTGTTAAGTCTGCTTCTCTTCGCTTCGCGTTACTTTAAAACTTCATACCTTTGTTTCGTTTCGTACTCGCGAATGTGCACGATTCACCTCTCTCCTTGAACTACCCCACTTAGCTATTAATAGTACGGACTTGTCCATCGTCAAATTTGCCTCTCTGAGCGGCCTTCTGTTATCGCTTCTTGTGTCCGTACTCCTGCAAAACTTTTGCAAGCGCACGCTTTCGCAATTTCTTTTGTAGAAAGTTTTGAGTCTTTTGCAATAAATTTTGAAGTCTCACATTGTTTATTACACATTTAGATCAACATGAGACTTCGGGACAGAACAAGAATCCTAAATCATAGATATAAAATTCAACACATTTAGGTATCGTGTTTTCTGAGCGTGCTCTCCTTGAAGGGGAGAATGTTTTTTCATATCAATAGAGGGAGTGGAAGGAGGTTGGTCTGGCCATCTACGAATTGGACTAACGACAATTGATCCTGAAACAAGGCCATCTATAAGGTGCGTTGCGATTTCAGTTTTCCAAGTTCAATGAACAAATTCCAATTTTCTCTTTTTCTCACTGTACTGGTTGTTGTTTGCGATTGGGCTTTTTCTAGGAGTCTTGATACAAATTCCTGGCTGTTCTCCGTTTCTCCTTTCATTGTTCCGTTCCAAAATACATCCACGCGCTCTCTTCCAACTGAGAAAGGATCACTGATTGATTTACTACGAAAATAGCACTGAGACACCAAGGTTTCCGATTAATTTTTTTTTAAACTCATATTCCATTTTTTTTTACAGAGTTTTGTGATTTTTTTCATTACAGGATCCATGTTGTTTTGAATGGTTTTGACATTTGTCCTAACTTTGGACCAATTCCTTCGAACCTTGCTTTTTTTTCGCTTGTCCGTTGATGTTAATTCGCCCGTACAAAGATGTGTGAGAAAGTTTTACCCAGTTCATGCTCAGTAGTCGTTATTTTGTTTGATAATTTTCAATTTTCACTTGTACCCGCGTTGGCAGTGGGAAGGAGTGTGAATCTACCTTCTTGCAGAGTTAACGGTTCGCATTGATTTTGAGGCGCCACGTACTGTGGGGCAGTCGTCTCCGCGGCCGCGCAGCTTGTTCGTATAGCTTCATTGGCGGAGCGTGATCCCGTGGACCGAGGAGTGTAGCCAGTTCAGGAGAGGCTCTATTTTCTTTGTCCCCTATCATTTTGCACGAGGAATTTTAAGAGCATGAGAATTAATTAGGAGCACAAGAAAAACGAAGTATGCACAGGCTTCGTTATGAGAAAACCCAGATCTTATAAAATCTCTTCAGGATTGGAAAATGCTCTAAAGAAATGACTCTTTGGAGCACTGCATTTCTAATGCATGCTTTTCTTCACAGGAGAGCCTTGCTAGCCAGCATACACATTTGCCAGCACAGTCCTTTTCCCAGAGAAAAAATGCGGTCTAAAAAAGCTGTATTTCAAATTTACCTCATTGGAACATTTATAGGTGCGAGTTGTATATCCGGGTCCACGCATGCCAGCACGTCTGTACACTCTTTGTTCGGATCGACTGCGATGCCTTTATAATGAGAGGAAATGTTCCTTGTCTGGCTTACCGGCACCTCTACGCATTCAGCTGGAGCAAGAGTGGAACAGAGACACTCGAGACGCCTCATATTATGACTGGGAAGGAGTGCGGTAGTTGCGGTTGCACTAGGGCTTCCATCCATACCTTGTAAATTTCTTGTAGTTAAGAAACGGTAACCAGTACACGAGTGTGACTTCTCCAGACAATTTGTTTTGTCTTAACTGTAGCCTTTAATTTAATAAATAATAACTGTACTTTGTTAAAAAACAAACCTCTGTTCTGGTCAAAAATCACACCTGATTCCAGAAGAAACAGGTCCGTTTAGTATTGTCCATAGAATTTTATCGGGGCTATTTATGTCTGGCATTGCTGTTTCGGACCTTAGCGATGTCAAATGAAACTTCCATGCACTTCAAAAAAAAACTGCTCAACGATTACTCAACGATGACCATGCCATGCTTTCACGGCCATGTGACCGTGCGTTGTAAAACCAACTTCAGCAGAACATTGAGAAACGACACGTATATTTACTATTTACACAATGTGACCAGTATTAAAGGCCGATTTCATATTCTTCATCGACTTTCATCATCTCCAATGCCTCTTGCGATGATGGCTCATCCCATTTCATCTCCAACATTTTCAAGCGAGATTTGAAGTCTGTTTCAAAGATTTGATCCTTCCACTTATTGTAAGTAAAAGGTACGAGGGTGGGCCTGCAGTTATTACGTTTCCTTCGTTGACGTTTCGCATCGGTTGCTAGTTGATCTGCCAATTTCATGAGTCTTCTTTCATTCATATGCAGTATAGACATCGTCGTATACAATGCCCGCATTGAGCTGGGACTGAAAAGCACAGTTGGACTTCGTACGAGTGCGGAGGAAACTTAAGGCGTAATAATACCTACTATTGGATCTTCTTCCGACGGTAGATCTTATTGAAAAGTGTGCTCCAGATGGCAGATGGAGACACCTCTACGCGAAGTAGCGGATTGTAAGCTTTTTTGGAAGAACTTGTCCAAAATGACGTCGCGAAAACGCTGGTAAGCATAACCTCTTAAGTAATGCGGTTCCGATCGTACACCTGTCGAAGGTGGATGAGCACAGCGCGTGTGCATTCCAGTGAT